TTCCCCCCTGCTCGTTTATGTGAATAATAATGAACCAACCTGAGGGGTGAAATGACTGAAATGATTTCTCTTCTCTCCCTGTTTCTCTTTGCAGAAATGAAGACTATATGAAGTTGTCCCTAGCATCCTCCTAAAGGCATCCCTTGGCATCTTTAAAGGCTTGAGAGAAATACCAAAACCAACCAAACACACCCATAAGAGAAATCCATAAACCCTCAAAACTTGGGATCCCCTCTTGGTCTGAAGTTGAGTTCTTCAAAAACTCCTGTGGTGTCAAGTTTGAGGAGATCCTGTTGTGTGGCTCCATGGACTGGGGCTGGGCCCAAGCAGTGACTTGAGTTGTGTTTGGGGGACTGGGATGTCCTAGGAGATGAACCTTCCTCCCTCTCCCCCAAACAGATCCCAAATTGGACACTAAATACGCAGCGAGTCTGTTAGTTTTGTTCATTACCATGTATTAGGCCTGCCATGAAATCTGTGTTGTTCCTTTATTGAGGTGGGCAAACTGTAGCTCTTCTCCCAGACCAGCCTGGACCTTATACCAGACTATCAAGTTGTTTCTTCCGGGGGCCAAACTCCTCTTTATTGCTGCGGGGTGGGAACTTCCTATGATTTCAAATGTACAACGCTGCTTTATTCTGAGGGGTGGAGGGATGAAGTGGGGTCCAAGCGAGGGATGGCAGGTGGTAACTGGACTGACTCAAATCGTGCTTCTGTAGTTATTTTAGCAGAGAGCTGATTCTGTAGGTAGACAGAATGACTTGAGAAGTGACAAAGATTGATAGTTTAGCTGTTCTGCTTGTGGTGGAGGTTTAGGAGACCACACTTTGGCTGCTGTTGATATCTGGATTCTCACTTTTCCCTACTCCGGTTCCCAAGAGGAGAGACCCAAGGAGGTAGCTACGGCATCAGGGGTTCCCTCTGGCTCAGGATGAGATTGTAGGGGTCCTGGAAGAGACACCCTCCCCATTCCTCTGCCTGCTTGCTGTTCCAGTGCCCTCTTCTCTTGCTAGCCCAGTGGCTTGTCCACTGGAGCCAGAGCTCAGCATTGCTCCTCAGCTCTGTCATATATAGAAGATGAATTCGGCTGGGCGTGTAACCTGCTTCAGACATAGCAGGTTTCAAATCAAACCCAGCTGGTTTGCGAGAGTGAGAAGAGGGCCCGTGTCCTCTAACAATGTTGTAGAAACACTAGGCTGGGTGGGGATGTGTCCTTCGAAGTTTCTCTCTCACTGCAGGACAACTGCCTCTTGGCTAACGCTGCAAACATATCAGAAACCCAACAGGCTGCTTTTTTTGTTCCCCTTTTTAATTCCTATGCAGACAATACTTGAAACCTTGTACACAGTTGTCCTTTCCAGCGCCTGGGGTTGGCAAACTCTTCATAAAAGGGCTTATTTAAGGAACAGCAGGAGGCTTCAGCTTTAGAAGAGGCTGGGCTGCCCCTTTCCAGCCGACAACTGCAAGCGTATTCAGTGGTTTGTATATGAATTTAGGCACACCTGGACCCTCTGCTTCAACATCCAGCTGGTACAGCCGCTGTCTCCCCTCGGTGCTGGCTGGCTGACTCTGTGTCCCAAGCACCCAACTATGCAAAGAATGCCTTATATACATTGTGTTTAAGTTACATGGCAATATGTACATCGAGCAAAGTCTATAGTTGAGTCCAGATTTTTGCTAGTGGCAGCGAGTCAAACTATTTCTTCAACTCAAATGGCTGGCTGGGTATTTTTTACTTTTGTTTATGTTTGTTTGTTTTGTATCTGATGGTGGCTCTTATACAAAGGACTGTAATTCTAGTGGCTTGAATCTGTAAAAATTGCCTTTGTTTGGTCCAATAAACCTTTGAATAGTTTATTTGGTTTGTGCTTGTTCTCCCTGCCTCCAGCAGCTTGCAACTTCTTCCTCAAGAGATTTGTGTTGAAACTCTGGGTTTTGGGTTAGAGGTACATTCTGCCCTCCTATGCCTTTTACCCCATAAATGATTCCATTGGCTTCCTTAACAATAGAGTCAGACCAGTGGCAAAAGTCAGGGATTTTACCTTATTTTTGCTGGAGCAACGCAGTGTTGCAGCAGGATCCTGGTCTTGTTTGGCTGCGGAGCAATTAGCAATGTTCCCAAATGCAGAGCTCTGCCCAGGAGTTCAGCTGCTGTGAACATGGATGCCTAGCAGTTCCTGAAACGCAGATCTCCTTTAACATACCTATAGCTCACTGCCCCAAACCTCCAGTTAATCATAAAATTCTTGGACTGAAATGTCTGAAAAAAGCCTAAGGGAGTTAAGTATGCAAATTCAATTGCCTATCAAGAAGAATTAGGCTGCTTTGAAAATCCTTAATTAATCTATTTTGTCAGCAATAAGTAAAATTCTGTTTGACCTCCTAGATCCAAGTAGTTTTGAGGACAGCACTTATGGGAAGAAAGAATGATTTTACTCGTGAATGGGGTAGGTTTGATCTGAAATCATCAAAAAAAAATACAATCTGGAGCAGTACAAAGTTATTTTACAAGGTCGCCCATGATAGGAGAAGCTCCTTTTTGAAATCAGTTTCATGTTTTTTGATGCCTTACTCTTCCTTCCCAGGCTCTTTTCTCTCTTAATCTTTGTTTTGCTCTCTCTTTGTTGTAGATTATGTAGCACAGAGAAGTAACAGCAGTAACAGCTCTTTTTTATTTCTGTTTTTCAAATGCACAGTCATGATATTTAAAGTTGAGGGGAGAGCCAAAATGCATTGATGTTGCACTTTAAAAAATAGAGTGAATATTGTCTGTGATCTTGATTTTGGAGGTTTGGAGACAAG